ATCCTAACCCCAAAACCCTAAACCCCAAAACCCCAAAGCTCTGATCCAGGGCCGTCTTCCAGGGCGGATTCATCCCTCGGGTCATCGACTTCCGCAACAAACTGGGCCTCCCCTCCCAGGAGATCCCGGGCGTCATGGAGGTCGACCCGGAAGGGTGTCTTGGGGCTTCTTGGGGTTTTGGGGTGTCTTGAGGGTTTCGGGTTTTTTTTTTGTGGTGAAGAGTTAGGGTGCCCCTGAACCCTAAACTAAGCCCTACATCAAACCCTAAACTAAACCCTAAGTCCTAACCCCAAACCCTACCCTAAACCAAACCCTACCCTAAACCCTAAACCCCAAACCCCAAACCCTCTGCCCTGGAGGTGCCCACCTACTCCGACTACCGACAAACTCTGCAGGCGAATCAGCCGAGCCTTTACGCCTTCAGCAGCGCGCTGATCGACAGGTGCTGTTAGGGTCTGAGGGCTCCGTCGTTTTTCGGGGTAGAGTTTAGAGTTTAGGGTTTAGGGTAGGGTTTGGGGATGGTTTGGGATCCAGATGTTTAGGGTTTAGGGTATCTTGTTTCTGTCGTGGTTTTGGTTTCTAGGGTTTTAGAAGGGGTGTTGGGGTGAGGCTCCTGTGTTCGGTGTTTGAGATTTTGGTGCCTTTCGAGAGCTTTCGGGTTTGTTTTTGGCAGTTGCACGGAACCACCAATATGGAAAGCTGAGAGGGTTTGTAGGTCGAGCGTCCCTAGTACATTCCGAGCCATCTGCTCAAATCTTCTACCAGAAGCTCCCACGACCTGCTGGGTACCAACCTCTAAACTCCATAAACTCTCCAATCCCCCTAGGAATCTAAACCTTGTGCATAAGAACCCTCAATCCATACACAGCCCTAGAAGAATCGCTATACAAAGCCTCATGGGAACCGTGCAGTAACCCCTCCACGGAAAGCTTTTAAAAAGGAATCGGTGCCCTCAGCCCTCTCAACCCTAAACCCTAAACCCTCAACCCCTAAACCCTAAACCCTAAACCCTAAACCAAGCCTTAAAGGAATCGTTGCACCCTGACATCCGGTTGTCCAGGCCCTCGGAGTACCAAAGCTGGCACTTCGTCACCGGATCCTTTTCTGCCCGCGGTGGAGGGTGTGGCCTGGAAGCTAGTATATTATCGTATATTATAGTATATCATAGTATATTATAGTATATTATAGTATATTATAGTATATTATAGTATATTATAGTACATTATGGTAAATAGCTCTTGGCCAGGGTCTGCAGGGCTTGTAACATATGGGCCTACGCCACAACGATGACAGTACGTAGTCGTGATGCTAATATTTAATAATATTTTTGCTAAAAAGGTCATGGAGAGAATAGGGTATTCGGAATTTTTTTTTATGGTATAGCAATTTCCGATGCTACCAGCAAAGACTGTGGCTCATGATTCCGACACCCCTATTTAGGAGGGAACTTTCAGACTTTTCATTTTCAAACCACCAGCTCCCTACCTGGACCCTAAGCACATTTTAAGCCCTAAACCAAAAGCCCCGAAACCCGAAACCCTAAACCCTAATCCCTAAACCCTAAACCCTAATCCCTAAACCCTAAACCCTAATCCCTAAACCCTAAACCCTAAACCAAAAACCAAAAGCC